AGGTTGGTTGAATACCTAAAATACGTCTTTTAAAACAATTTTAAGAAAAATCGATTTTAAGATGAAAATTGGTCTGCATTATCAAATATTTATTTTTTTAGTATCCGAGAGTCGATTACGCGTGAGGAATGATTAGCACCCCCACAGAGCCCAAATCTAGTACCTAATCGCTTAACAATGTCGTAAATGGTGGAAATTGTGAATTCGTATCAATATTTAAATTACAATCATTTTATTGAAAATGATATTTATTCCAAATTTATCGTCAAGGAACATTTCTTAATCTGAGAAAAAAATTATAGAATTTGCACATCCTCCAATGGAAATGTTATATTATTTATTTCTTCTTTAAACGAGGAGTGTTCCCTCCCTAATGTTCGTTAAAAAGTGCAAATCGAATATAAAGTGAACATCGATAATAGTATGAAACAACTTGTTATTTAAAGAGACATGCATTGCATAATTAAAAATGAACATAAATTAATTATCGTCTTTGTAAAATTAAGTTTGATTTATTTCAAGTTCACATTTTATTCAAATGTTGTATTGAATCGCCCTACTTCAATCAAGCGGTGCTTCTCATGCCCATTCTTTAAATAATTGTTCTTGAAAATATTCGAATAAAATATTAAAGGTACTAACAAGTAAAATTGATTCGAGAAAAAGACAACATGTATGTATGGATGTATAAGTGTCAAATATATTATAAATAACTTCTCGGTATGTAGAAAAATATACAAATACTTAGTGTGTATGATAAAACACGTGCATGTAATAAAATATAAAAATACCTTATCACATTCAAAATGTATATAAAACCATAATATATATAATGTAGTACCCGTATGCATATAAGTATGTATATATATGTATAGGACTAAAAAGGAAAACATGGAATCCTAAAACCAAAATACAATCTAAAGTAATTAAACATACATAGTGATTAAAAGGGCTAAATGGTATTAATAATTTGTAATTCTAAACAGCAAAATCAACAACAAATCGAGGCAACAATCGAACATACCGAACAATAGATATACTAGAAATGAAAATAAACCACAAAAAATATTCAGGATTAAAATAAAATAAAATAAAATATCATGCCAACAACATAAACTGGACCAAAAGTAAAACAATGTGAAAAGGTGACTAAAGTGAATTAATAAAAACATACAATACTTAAACATGAACAAATTAAAGTAAGATGGCTAAAACTCTAATATAAGCAAAAATATACACATAAGCAATGAGGATGAAATTAAAATTCCCAACAACTCGTAAGCTCAAAAATGAAAGACTGTAAAAGTTTCATTGATGATTGGAATAAAAAGGTTATAAACCGCGGAGGGCATCTCTTTCAAATAGACCATGTGCTAAATTGCTCTCAGGGTCCTCCTTAAACAACGTCATTTGATGTCCAATATATAGTTGAAATCCAGGCCAAAACCGGTCATCGACCCTCATTTGCTTCTTTTTCTCTTGGTTTGAAGGGGGGAGAGAGAAAGAACTATCATGAGCTTCAACCGGAGGCCATGGTTTTCTAGAATCTGGTGGGTCTCCGCCACGTCGACCTTTATTGACTGGCGACAACCGCCATCCGTCGGAGTTAGAGAAGAGAGAAGAAAACACTGTTCGAAGCATCTCTTTGCCCTAATTAAGAATTCGGGCTTCGTTTAACTAGAAAAAATCCTATAGTCGTAGATCTACGAAGATCACTTTGGTTTCTTTAACTCCAGTGGCCCTCGAGATGACCAGTGAGTGGCGAGTAGGTGAGTCCTCTATTTTCCCTCTTGATTTTCTCTCTATTTTTGTAGTAAAAAAGCCCTTTCTTTTATTGTTCGAATCTTTTTTTTGTTTGATTTTTTTCAAATTTTCCTATTTTTCTTTTCGAAAACCATTGGTTTCTTATTCTTTCTCATTCATTTTCTTTTTCTGGTTTTTTCTTTTCCCTTCTCTGTTGTTCAAAAACCTCTTCCCTTTCATCTTGTATGTGATGGTTTGATGAAGTACCTTTGTTGTTATCGAGAAGATATGGTATGATTATCCTATTTTCGGTGAGTGACATTCTGAGATTTCTTTTGGGTTTGGTTTTTTAATAGGTTTTTAACTTTGATTGATTTGATTTCTTGCTCTGAAACAGGAGCGCCAATGATAGCAGGTTCGACTGACAGTGGCAGCGGACTTTTTTGTCAATAATGGCAGTGACTAGTAGGATTAACTTGGGGTGGGCAGTGAACGGTGGCAACGACATTACTCGGCTTCAGCAGCGGCGACACAACAAATCTAAGGTTCCAGAAACCCTAGTTCCCTTTTCATCTAGGTCGTTGGATTAAGTACAGATCCAATGGCTGGGAGCAAGGCGATTGGGGAGAAAAGATGAAAACCCTAGCTGCATTGGGTTACCATCATTGGGCTTTTGGTTAGGGCCTTCTTGTTGTAATTTGGTTTGGGTTATTGATTGGGCTCCGAGTCTTGTATTTTGGATCTGTAATTTGGGCCAATTTTGTAACCTGAAAATAATAATAATATAATCATAATAATAGTAATAATGATAATTTAATAAAAATTATTAAAACCCGGACAAAAAATAGGTGTCTACAACATATTATGAAATTGAGATCACACATTCGATAACCAAACTGATTCTATAACTAGATAATCTAGAAAAGGAAAAACATAAACAGAGTGAGCTACAAAGCTTAGTGTGCCCTCTACAGTAAAATATATATCGTAAGAGTTGAGTTGCACTTTACATGTAAACCCCCTAGACCCAACTTAGGAGTTACAATTGAATCAAGGTGATCACTTTGATAAGATAAATGGCCCACGAATGAAATTTGTTTAATAAATCTTTTTAAAATTGTTTACCAAATATAATATCATAAATAAATTCATTTCAAATTTTAAAGAGGTTGAAAATAAATATTTAACCTCATACGATAAACAATCGAGACTACACCTCATATAGCCAAATATATCTGGATAATCTGAAAAGGAAAGACATAAATAAAGTGAGCTACAAAACTCAATGTGTCCTCTAGATGCAATCAGATAATATTAAAACGCAAACATTTCAAGCATAATGTAATAAACAAAATAATAATCAGACAATATTAAAATCTGGTATTTTACCATTAGAATGTCACAACAGAAGTTCACGATCTTACCTTTCATCCTGGATTACATTGACATGAATGTTACCTTTTGGAGAGGAACCAAAAACCTTCAAAGATGGTCCAGAACAGAAAACAAAAATTCGGATGGGGATTTTACCCTTCGTAGAGGAGCCCAAGTTAACCTCAAATGAGAAACTCAACAGAAATTAAAAAACATGATGGGGATGTTTCACTCCCAAGAGGATCCCAAACAAAAACAGGAAGTGAATGTTGTCATCCGTAGATAATCCCAAGAAAAAACAGGATGGGGACATTACCCTCCGTAGAGGAACCCGTGTAGATGACAAAAATATATCAATATGCAGATAAAAGTGATGCAATACCAATCAGAAATCAAATATATCACAAATAAACATAATCTTAATACAAGCATACATACAAATAGCATCATACAATAAAAAGTATAAAATTATTAAATGCATCATACGGGTCAAGGGGACACATTTATACTAGCTAATCTATATCAGCTAAGCTTTATGCTTCCACGAATAGTAGTACTATGTCTTACGGAACGAAAACCTAATGATAATGTATTACTGTATAAGTATTGAAGTAATACATAATTAAATAGAATAACTTGTAATTCAATTAATAACACTTACACATATTTCAAATCGAACGTGCGGAGTCGAGTTGAGTTGAAGAGAGGTGATTCAGACCTACTGTAAAGTAGTGCAGAGACATGTGATCACTTTCAAAACATAATATTGAAGTGTAAGAGCATAGATTCCATAATTGTATTGTAAAGCACTAAGAGATGCAACACATGACTTTCCGGTCAAAATTTGACAAAATGGACTACAAAAACGAACTCAAGATATCGAAAAACATTAGGATAAAGGTTTTAAAAAAAAGTCAACGAGTCAAAGTCAAATCAACGAGTCGGGTCAAAATTAACGTGTAAGGTTAAATTCAATGGGTCATGTCAAAGTCCATGGGTAGATCAACTTGATCAAGAAGATCGGTTCAAGACCAGTTCATAACCGATTTAAGCATCAGGTCAGTTTGATCGATTCGTAAGGAAAAGCGCATTCCCACTCACACTGATGACGCGTGGGAAGCCCTCCGGTGACCAAAATTTTGTGAAAACTTCCATATTTGAACTTTAGATGACAAGCAACCTCTTACTAACTATACTTCATGGTAAAAAGTGGTGGAGACGCGGAAGAGGAAAATACCAAAACAACTGAAAGTTCCCTCCCTCATAACTCACCAACGAAGATTATCAAAAGGTCGAGACAAGGTCCAACTAAATCGGAACGATTAGGGCAGCACGATGGCACCGGCGGTACACTCCACGACAGCCTGGCAACGATAGTTTGGAAACGCAAAGTGGTGAAGAGAAGGGGAGGCTCACACGGCTCCAAACTTGAAAAAAATTGGGGAAAAAACCAAAACCGAAAAAGTAATGATTATTTGAATAACCTAAATTTAGGGTTAATCACAGAGAAGTCCCTAAAATTTTAGGAAACTCAATAAACGACACAAAATTTTAAAATGCTTAACATTTGACCCATATCTTGGGGCGTGACAACTTCAGATTGTATTCTTCGATTCTCTAATAATTAGGAGTGGAAATATATCATTCTTCTAAAAGTTACAAACATGTCACTGAACTAAAATATGGTTACAAACAATTAAATCATTAAATTTAAAACGAACGCCCAATATAGCTTGGTATAGTAATAGTTTTAGTCCATAAATAATATTTTAATTTGGTCCTAATTCAACAAATTTAACCTTTCATATTTAAACTTTTTATTAATTAACGAATATATCTTATTGTATTCGTTTGGTACGATTTAGTGCGATCTACGGGTTGCGGTGATGAAATAGATGTCTAATTTGGAGGTCGATTGCTTTGATTTGGTGCTTTTTCGTCCTGTCTTTTTGTCATCAATTGAGTGACCGATAACAAATAAGTAAAATCGCTTTCTATTTTACTCCAAAGAGAACCATCCTTTCCTAACCAGTGGCATAAAATTTCCCTTAACCAAAATGTGCAGGCAATGCGGAAATGCAAAATACAATATGCTGTACAAAGATTATGACTACAATTGTCTGCAAAATATTCTACCTTTCCACTGTTCAACTAATCATTGTAGCACAGAATTTTTTTTGTTTTACTTTGTTGTTTATCTTTCTTCTCACCTCAACAACGAGTTCAATGAAGTTACTTCATCTCTACGTTGACTTCTAACATTACACGTGCAAAATTTTCAGAACAAATACTTTGATTACTTGAGAAAGAAGTGACACTCACCTCGACAATCAGAACCAAGTCCTTTGATGTATAGAACTTCATTCAAGAGAAGCAATAATGTCTAAATTATTCTTCATCGACCATTTTTGAGGATGGAATGAGTTAGATGATTCAATATTAAGTTCCCAAACCATGATTCATGAGCAGTCCGAAGGTAAGCCTTCCATCTGGCTTTCATCTTCCCCGACTCTTTCAATAATCGAACCTGACTGCAAATTCAGACCAGTGATGTTAAAAGTTAGAAACAAATATGGAACAAGATGGATCAAGTCGTTTCAACAACGTATCAAGAGACTCTTCCACGGGTTAATTTGCTTAAATGGCAGCACCTGCCATGATCGCGGTAGTATGGTGAAGCAATAAGAAACCTAAAGTCAATTAAGGAAGGGCCAATAAGTTCTAACTTGGAAGCCATCTTTGTCTGTGTCAAGCTGTCTAATCTGTTCAAGAGTGGGTCGGTGCCATCGTTTTGGATCCCAAAGTAAGGTACTGTTGAAAGCAAACCCCGGTATTTCAGCATGGAATCTTCTGAATCTCTTGCTTTGTCCAATTAGGTGCCATCCAATTACTTGAGTTCCGTTACAAACTGGACCCTCCAATATAACTCCACTGTTGTCCCATGTTTGTTTGGCCACAGTCCAAGTCCCGAACCGCCTATATATAACAAAGGCCATAGTGAAATAAACTGCTGCAGTAGGCACAAGTAAAAAGAAGGAAATTGTGGTGATGGATTTGAAAACAAATAACCAAAGAGCTCCATGCAAAGAAGAGACAAATAAAAACATTAAGTAGATACCTAATATGCCTCATTTGCTCAAACAGATCGATCGAGTAGATGTTTTCCTCATTGGCAAAGTAGAGAATTCCATCAAGATGATGAGTTTCAATGTGAGATAATGCCACATTTCTTTGGTGAACGTTTCTGTCTTTTATATCGGTCAGATTGGTTTTGCAAACAAGATGCCTATACATAACCCTGCTCTTTCTTAGGATGCCAGCCGTTTCCTCAGTTTGCGAGGTCATCTCCACAACTATCCACAATAGAGGAGGTTGAACCAGCTTTAATGTGTATGCCATGCGGGTTAGATAATAGGCTTGAAGCGGCCGAGCATATGTCGGAGTTATGACAATCAAAAGCTTCCGAGATTCCAGATTTATATCTTGAAGAAGTGATTGATCAATCAGCGCATCATCTAAATACCCTCCTACCATTTCCTGTCTCTGCACCAATTCATGTGTCTTCAATGTGACATTATTTTCAACTCCGGTGTTGTCCACTATTGAAGTTACATTTCTTTCTGAACTTTCATGAGTTGGAAAACTTCCAACGGTCGATACTACCTCAACAGAGAATGCTTGTTGCTTCGAAATGCCGTTTATATAAGACAAGTCCACAAAAAAGAATGATGTCAATCCAATAAAAGAGCCAACTATGAAACAAATGAAGAAATGAAAAAGAGCCCTCCTCCAAACTTGTCCTTTCTGTTTCGACCTATCAACAGGCCTAGAAGGTCTCGGCGAAGAAACACCAAAATCCGAAGCATGAGAATCGGATAAACCAAAAAGAGAAGATAGCAATCCACCATTTATCGATGAGTGGTTCGAGGACATGATGATGACCTTGACAGAGGAGAAGGAAGCGAGCGTTCAGCCTCCCCAGTAACTAGAGTACCTTGTTGAGACAATGTTCTTCTAATTGATGCCATCAACAAATTCAACACAAGATTTCAAATTACAAGCTCCTTTGCACATTCCTTAATCATTTCTGCAACAATCTAGAGCGCCCCTACAAACCAAAAAACATCTAATCAATCCAACCAGATACACTTAACTAGACAAATTCAATCTAAAAAAAAACTACCTTCCCTCTCATCTAAACAATGTTGCTAAATAACTATCAGTAATTCCAAAGAACATTGCCACTCCAAACCAGAATCTAACGAAAAGGGAAACTGACTTACCTTCCAATAGAAAATGGGTCTTCGATCTTCTTTTCCAAAAGTTACAAAGATGACAGAATCAGCATCATCTCAGAGCCATGTTTTTTCAACACTTTACAGTTTACAGACAAAACAAAAGCATCAATATTTTCAGGCCTTTCTTTGCCTTGACCAATGAAAATATGTTGAGAAGAGATAGAAACACTTAATGCAGTTCAGAGAAAACACTCCTTGCTTCCAGTCGCAAAGATTTTCAGACAGAACACAATAATTTTTGTTTTTTAACGATATTTTTGTGACCGACGGTGGTCGGAAGTATGTACTCCATATGATTGAGGATTTAATACACGTGTAATCATGTTATAGGTGGCCAATGCATCAATAGGAATAGTAAATTTTTGTTTACTTATGAAATTTGATATCTTTATTTGTGGTTGGATTTTAGCCTGAAAAAGATATTGTTTTAGTGTTTATTCATAATTTATGCGAGAGCAACTATAATGATGATGGTATAATGATGATGGTATTGTTAACAATCTTCATATACATTTATTATGATTTATATTTATTTATCATATTTTTATAGTAAATCAAAATAATTTTTGTAGTTCAAAATTTATTGAAATCTCGAGAAAAGTTAAATGCATTCTTATTTGAATAATCAATTTTATAATAAACAATATACTTTTATGTTTTGAAGAAATTTGTATTTTAAAATTGTTTAATTCTCTTTTATTTGTACTACATGTATTATGGTAAATCAGAAGTTTACAAGTTTATATGAATGAGATTGAATCACATGTATGGTAAATCAAAAGTCTACAAGTTTAATAATTTTAATTAGTTGGTATGATTGGTTAGATCATCTCAAGCAAAAATTATTGAGATTTACATAAAAGAATCTGAAGTTCTTGGATTATTTGTTCTTATAATGGAATTTAGAATTTCATTAGTTAAAGTTGAGACTGAATGTCTTGCGTATCTGATTGAAATATGAGTTCATTTATCCATAAAGTAGAAACTTCTTATATGATTTTAATAGATTCATCTACAAAACAATATATGTTACCAACTCAACTATTAATTTGTGAGATTGTTTACTCGATTAAAAAAAGAAAAGTTTCAGACTATGCAGTTAAGATTATTCGTCTTGTTAAACTTAGTGAGTTTATTTTTCATACTTTTAAAGATTATATTGTATATAAGTTGAAATAACTATCACAATTCACAAAGTCTATTATTTATGAAAAATATTTTAGTAGAATTTTGATTGATTGTCTCTTTTCAATAGCTAAACTATGAGAACAAAATTTCTAATATCCATATAAAAGAACTCTGTGTCTATTACGTGTTCATATTGATCCACCCCAAATGAACAAAAATTTGTATATGAAGTAAATTGGAAACACATATACACATATGTTATTATGAGTCTCATTTTATTGAATGTTTTGATATTCAATTATGGTATGAATTGTTTATTATTTTCATTAGGGTAGAGAATTAGTTTGATGAAAAATATAAATAAATTATCATTTTATTTAGATTCTCACATATAGTGATGTGAACTAGAAGTTCACACGATAATTTATTGCAATTCAATTGTCAGAAATATTTATTGACCTAATGAGAGTAATCAAGTCTCATGTACCAACTGCAAATGCTCTAATGAATTATAATCCTAGAATGATAAGATGTTAGAGTAAATGATTGTAAACCATGCCCAAAGCATGATAGTTGAATTGGTACCATCAGTTAAAATTCTCATAAATGAAAAGTAGTATAAGATGATCCTATAGCGAAGATGAGTGCTCGTGAAGAGACCTGAACATAACTAATAATACAATTCTAGAAGAATTTTATGTACCTAAAAAATGAAAATGGAAATAAAGAAGAGATTTCGATAAGTTAGGTCATTAAGAGAAAACAATGGAACCAAAAATATAAATATTACCGACAACTATTTTACGAATGATATTTCTATAGAAGTAAAGAAATAAAATGAGAATCTAGAATTGAAATCTATCCAGGAGTATAGATGTAGAAATAGTTGGTAAAAATGGATAGACATTATTCAAGTGGAGTTAAATTAACTTTCGAAAGATGGACAAGTAGTCCAAACACCTAAGGGAGCGTCTGGTTCGTGGAAAATATTATTACCAAGGGAAATAATCTTTTCCGGAATTGTATTCCCATGTTTGGTTCATGGAAAAGATCATTATCAAGTACTAACTTGTTGTCAATAATAGCTCTTTTGGGTTAAAATGGTGGGTGTAGACACTCGTTTTTGTCCGATTTTAAAAAATATTTATTTATTTTTTATTATTATTATATTATTATTATTAATTTATATTATAATTATTTTGTAGGCCCCACATTTTACCCCACGTGTCTCAACCGTTTCCCTTTGTGGGAAACGGGTTGTGCACCCATTATCTCCTCAACTCACGTCGTTTGCTGGGCAGGGGGAGTGGTTTATTAATCTATAAATCGTGGTCACACCAAAAGGGAGGGGAGGCAGAAACAGAGCAGGGGGACCTGCGCAAAGAAAAGGGAGGGAGAGATACCAAGTGCAGTTTCGTTGAGTGGGGGATGTGAGAGTTTTCCAAACAACCAAAAACAAAAACCCAGATGGATCTTCCTTCTTTCCCTTTACCAACAAAATCCTCAAAATTTGCCAAATTTTAACATTTACCCCCGCACTTTCTCTCCCCCTGCTTTTCACAGCTTTAAAGCAATCTGCAAAGCAAAATGAGTGGTGCGAGTGAGTATTTTCAGAGCAAAAGCCGCATCTCTCTGCTTATATCCCTTCCATGGTCGTCTCGGTTAAAATGAGACCTTCTTAAGCTCAAACTCGATAACTTTTTTGGCGTTGGGTTTGCATCAAAAAACAAGTATTTGTTCGGGAAAGTTTCCATGCAGATTAAGCTTGTAGAAGGTGACTCTGCCGGAAGCATTGATTTGACTCACTCGTGAATCGAAAATCAGAGTAAGAAATGACGAGGAGGCAGGAACGCCGGGGGCAGTCGAGTCAGGCCGGTGCAGTGAGCGAGTTGAATCGTAATCTCAGAAAAAGAAACTCGGCGGTGTAGACGCTTCGGAGCGTAAGCTCGAACGAAACCTTTGGAACCGGTCATAACCGAACGAGGACTCATCAAAACATATATTAGTTTCCAGGATATCCTCACCGAGAATTCGAAGGTAGTTAGAAATGAATCACTAAGGAGTTATGATTATCCAATATTGGCTTACGTTACTGCATGGTAAGATCATTTCACTAAGGTAGCTGCAATTATGATAATCCAGTATTTGTTTCAAGCAAAATTGTTTGTAGGAATTCGAAGGGTAAAATGAAAAACAAAAATATGTACATGGGACCCATGTTTTAATAGTCAAATCCATTTGCATGTAACCTACGTGCATTTATATTTTTTTAATTTTATTTTATTGCTTTATTATTTTATTATATTTTCCTTTTTTTACTAATTTTTATTTATTTTTGTTATCTATTGTATTTATTTTGTTGTTATTATTATATAAATATTTTTTTCTTTTTTTCATATTTATTTTTTATAATCTAACATTTTTACTTTCTAGGGATGTCTTCAATAGATCAAAGGTAATTAATTAGAATCGAATTTTTAAATTTTAATTTTATTTTTCATAATTAAAGACAACCGACAAATTAATTGGTACCGAAAGGGCGGTTCAAGGGTGCTAATCCTTCCTTGATCGTAATTGACTCCCGAATCCGACACGTTTATGGTACAACGCAGATCAGATAAGATGGTGTCCGACCCACCTAAATTAATTTTAAAATGGTCGGTGGCGACTTATCCCAATCATTTCAAGTCGAAGCCCAAATTTCGGGCCCAACCGAAAGACAGTTCCGACAGCTTGACGACTCCGCTGGGGAGAGGTAAGTGAGTCAGGCCAGAATTAATTTTCGGTTGTCTTTTTATACGAAAATGTTAAATTTTAATTTTAATTTATTTGTTTGATTCTAATTATTTACCTTTGATTATTTTTCAAATAAATAGTTGTACTGACATTTTTTTCAATGATTTCAGATTTTTGAAAAGTTTCTATCTCTGACTCTATACTCGAGCTTCGAACTCTATTTAAGTGGGGGTGAAAGCGACATCTTCGTGTGAATTTATTCACCGCACAGGCCTAGCAAGTAGCCTTCGGGATTCATATATCTTATGTCTTCGTGTGAATTTATTCACCGCACAGACATAAGGGAGTGTGTCATCTCGAGTTTAACTTAGTCCACACAAGCTTGTAATGGCTTAGGACTAAGGGTCTGGTAAGCCCAAGGGAGCACCAGCAAAGAGAACTCGAGTACCTTTTTAGAACCTAAACCAGGAGAGTACAGGGAATTAGAGCCCACCCCAAAACCTCATTGCAAACCCTAGGCTGCTTTGATTTTATTTCCTGCTTTACTTTCTGTTCAAAGCATACGAACTAGACAAATATACGGTTTAGGATTTATTTGAAATTAGCATAGAGATCATGTCCGGGTAGGAACAATAAGCATGTGAGGTAAATATCATGTGGGATAGGATTTTTCATTTTTATTATTGTTTTGATTTACCTCACTAACTATTTTTATTTTTGTTCTCTTTTATTTTGTTTTCATCGTTTGCATCATTTAAAACGAGGTGTTGATCCACCAAAAACGTGTTTGTTAAACATGAATAATCTGCATTAATGGACAAATGGGTTGTAATACAAGAGATGGAAATACAGAGGACAATCTACAAGGTGACTATGTGTCAAATTCAATCCCGAAGACATGGCGCCCACAATTGAAGAGTATATCATTATGTTGCGTTATAAAGGACTCAGAATGAATCGGGTCTACATCAAGCACAATGAAAGTCTATCTCAGAAAAAACTGACTAGCAGAGGTTGCAGGGGCAAGATGAAGGTCATTGATCTTGGGAGTCCCCTCAAAGACAACAATGGATAGCTGAAATTGGAGACCATTGCTGACGAATTCAAGAAACAGACAAAAAAACTTCACATAGTTCCTATCAATTGAGGACTCCAATGACGTATTCGTTGGGAACACGCTCAACAAAAAATAAATGCTCGAGATACAGTCATTCGAGACTTCTTGGGCCAATACAAAAAGCATCTTAACATTTGCACGGTTCATCCAGAGAAGCCGGAGCAGTACAACAGGTTATTCAACCAGTGACAGACGAACGCAGAAGACTAGTCAGCACATCAGAAGTTGTCATGATATTTTTGGTCTTTTAAA